TTATATCTCATTTATGTTAAGTCTCATTCACTCTATATATATCTCTACTAACCTCTTATAATCTATAAATATTTCATCTAGTATATCTCATCTCAACTCGCATATGCTCTTTATATCTTATCCCATACTCAGTCTCGTATACACACAAGCATACTATATATATATATATATATATATATATATATATATATATATATATATATATATCATCTCATACTCAATCTCGCTCACACTTAGTCTTGTATACTCTATATATCCTATATTATACTCAATCGCATACACTTTGTATGTCTCATCTCAATTAGGTCTTGTATACTCTCTATATATTTCATCTTATACTCAATCCCATGTACTATGTATGTCTCATCTCTATTCTATCTTGTATACTCTATTATATCTCATTTCTACGCGATCTCTATATATCACATTTCTACTCAATCTTGCATTCTCATATCTTAATATCATTAATGGAGGAAATGTACTAATATCTCAATCTCATTCCTGAAGGCAATATACTTATATCTCATTCTCATTCCCGAAGGAAGATACTCATATCTCAATCTCATTCCCGAAGGAAAGATACTCAAATATAAATCTCATTCCCGAAGGAAAGATACTCATATCTAAATGTGATTCTTGAAGGAAATATACTCATATCTCATTATCATTCCCAAAGGAAATATACTCATGTTCCCGAAGTAGTATCAATCTCATTCCTGAAGGAAATATACTCATGTTCCCGAAGGAATATCAACCTTATTCCCTAAGGAAATATACTTATGTTCTCGAAGGAATATCAACCTCATTTCGGAAGGAAATTTACTCATATTCCAAAAGGAATATCAACCTCATTCCCGAAGGAAATATACTCATGTCCCCGAAGGACTATCAATCTCATTCTCGAAGGAAATATACGCATGTTCCCGAACGAATATCAATCTCATTCCCGAAGGAAATTTACTCATGTTCCCGAAGGAATATAAATGTTCTTCCTGAAGGAAATATATTTATGTTCCGGATGGAGTATCAATCTCATTACATGCTCTCTCTCTCTCTCTCTCTCTCTTTTTCTATATATATATATATATATATATATATATATATATATATATATATATATATATATAGCGCTGAGTTATTGTGAGAACTAAAAAAAGCGTGTGAACTCGCGAACTCATAATCAACTCATCATTTTTCAAAATCGAAAACATCAATCTTCTCCAAATGGTGAGTCTAAGCCATATATAGGCTAAAAAAGATTTGACAATTATTTTTTATTTATTTTAGAAATATTCATGTATGCACAATCAGCAATCGTATGGACTGTTGATGAGCACACTCATCAGTCATATGGACTGCGGATGTGCACAATCAGCAGCCATATGGACTGCTAATGATCAATCATCAATCCATGTGACAGCTGATTGTGCTCATCAACAGTCCGTATGACTGCTAATTGTGCGCATCAGCAGTCATACAAAAAAACCAAAAAAACCGTCAAATCGTTTTATTGAGTCTAGATATGGCTTAGACGCACCATTTGGAGAAGATTGGTGTTGAAAAATGATAAGCTGATTATGAGTTCGCAAGTTCTCACAAATCTTTTGGTTCTCAAAAGAACCTAGCTCTCTCTCTCTCTCTCTCTCTCTCTCTCTCTCTCTCCTCTCTCTCTCTCTCTATAAACACACTCCAAATATACATATACATGCTCTGATACATGATTTCTACATATGTTCATGCTCTATCATCATCTCATAAGTTGATGGCATTCACTTAGTGCATCAAGGTTCTCATACATACATATATAAATATATAATCAAACATATAACAATCATAAAGAAAGAGGAATATTAATAACTCACCTTATCTGTTAGTGTACACTAACTATCCCACTTTGGCTCTTTTTGTCCATTACTGCATGTTGATCCATATTTTTCTCTTAGGCCATATACACATTTACAAGCATCTTAATACTTCAATTAGATTATTAAAAGCTTAATTAATCATAAGATCAAATTAACCACTTAATGGGTTAAAGCTCTATCTTTCATTCTCTATCTCAAAATCTCAATCAAATAAATGAATTAAGCTCCCCACAATACCTAATTCATTCTAATCTAGCTCTAAAGCATCAATTACTCATAATAATTACTTAGGGTTTCAAAACCTAATTCTCATTAAATTGATCCTAATCATAGGGTCACATACAAATCTTGTTATTAGCAGCTAAACACTCTCATTAACATCATTAACAAGCTTTCTTAAACATAATCTACATCAATTAGATTAAATCATCAAATTATCATTAAGCCCTAACTAGCTCAAAAATGGAGAAATCAATTACCTCATGCGTTTTTGATGCTCAATCCAAGTCATAATCACCCAAAATCGCATCTTGATCATTCACTACCATCGAAATCGTCGGAGCTTAACTATGGGAGTGTTTGGGTGTGTTATGCCGAGAATAGAGAGCAACTAATCTTTTGATTTGTTTTGATGTCACATGGAGACTAGGTCTCGTTCATGTCGTGAGACTGTTTGCCACGTCGTGGCGAACATACAGTCACGTCGTGGTTTCTGGGAATCAGCAAAGTACATTGCTGATTCCATTCCAGCTTTGGGGCATTTTTGTCCCAACTTCAAACACGCATATCTTCTTCGTTTCTTATCCGTTTTCGATGGTCTTTATATCCATGCGAAGGTGGGAGCATGGTCTACATCTTTGTTAAGTCATATCTTATTGAATTAATACAGATCTTAATCTACTAAGTCACGAAGTTGGCCTAAAAAGCATAAAATACCAATTTTACCCTTTTGATCAAAAATGCATTTCTCAAGCATTCTTTCTCTAGAACTTACTCATTTAAACTCTTATAGTGACTTAAAATTGTCTTGGCCATCTTCATGTTACAACTTCATATTCTCATATTCTTCTCATAAATGACCAAATTACCCTTTTGGTCAATATTTGACTAAAAGTCAGATCTTTCTACATTTTAGGTTGTTACATAAAGAAACAAGATCATTGTGACCATTTATATCAAAAATCACAAGGTCACAAAGTACTTTCTTGCATGCTACGTTGATATGCCTAACTTGAGATGAATGAATGAAGTTGTGATGCTCTATAAGGCTTTCTATAATTCTCGATTTCACGTTTAATAGATAATTTTTTGGCTTAACTTTAAGCTTAATGGAAAATTGTTTAGGTTGTGAATGAAATTTTAAGAATAACTGAGAAATTTCCTAGGGCGCAGAAGACTAAACTTGATTACAAAATAAAAAATAAGGGCATGTTCAAACTATTGATAACTTTTAGTTTTTAACTTTTAAGAAAAAAAACTTGAAATTGCAAAAAATACTCCATTGGAGAGTACGACCTTAAAACTTTTAATTTAAAGAAAAAAAAATTTGTAATCCAAAGTTCTAACAAGTAACTTTTTAGAGCTTTTAGAAACTTTTATTTTTTTTAGTTTTTATGTTTTATGTTTTACACTTTAATCATTTACAAATACCTACTTTTAAAGAATACTCTACACAAACAAAAGTTTTTTTTGAACGACAAATACAATATATTCCTAAGTTACTCCTAAATCCATCTATGTCTTAGACAAGACTCGAACCCTCAACATCAAGTAGGGAGGACAACACCTGATACCGCTGGGCTATAAGCCCTGTGGTACATAAATAAAAATTACAACTTACAACTTTTGTCAAACAACTAGCTTTGCCAAACATACTTTAAAGAGGTGGGATCGGATAAAGACTAAAAACTAAAAAGGTAAAATCAGTAACTATATAATATTGACTAATTAGGTAGAAAAGATTTTAAGTAGAAATGACGAGTCGGGATCTTAAGGTCGCATCATAGGTCTTGACGTCTCGTTTTAGAGTTGATCTCGGTGTGATGGGGATTACCTTTTGTGTGTATAATCTTCGTAAGAACTTAATAGATCAAAGTATGATGTTAACTAATCCAAATTAATATATAAGAATGGGTAAGAAAAGTTTCGATATAATCTATGATATTAGATTATAAGAAAACATATACTTGATCTTATCTCTTGTTAAATTCACGAGTAGTCTAGTAGTGGTCCCTTTCCGTTAAACAACAAAAATAAATGCAGTTTTAAGCTAATTTCCACTTTGACCCTTTAATCATTAATATGTTTTCTACGTGTCAAAGCTTCACTATCTACTTTTCAGTCCACTTGAATTTTAGGTAACTTCAAACATCTGTCGTACTTACACATGGATTAACTGTATAAACTTACTAAACTTTATCTTAATTTTTAGTTGGATTATTGAAGTTTTACACATGGATTAACTGTATAAACTTACTAAACTTTATCTTAATTTTTAGTTGGATTATTGAAGTTTTACAATTATTATAATATAATATTAAACTTTGAGAAAAATAGTTTAAGATACTGTTTTAAAAACCGAATTTTTAGGTGAATAGGTCTGATACACAGTTTCTAATAGTCTAATCAGTTTCTAAAAACTTTCATGGTCATTTAAAAAAAAAAATCTTGCTATAAAGAAAAATTTGTCAAAAATCCAATACAAGGAGATCTTTGTTAAAAATCAAATCAATTTAAATGATCCTACTAACCGAGTTTTTGTAAATACCAGTAAGTTATTTTGGTTCAAAAAAAGACATAAAATCATAATAAATTGAACCGTTTTCTTTTCCGGTTCCTATCCAACCCAATGGAACCCATTTTTAAAACATTATGTTCAAGATCATATAAACCAAACTTATCTTCTCATATAATAAAAAAATATAAAAATTAACTAACTAAGTTGGGTAGTTGGGGTGAATCTAGGATGATGCAAAGCAAAAGTAGGAGATTTCATTTACTTGTGTGTTTATACAAAAAGTACACTATAGTGCCTGTGTGACAGCACACACTAGATTACACATGCAATCCAAGAAACGTATACAAACGTATACACGATTACCATATTTACCACATTTTGACCCTGCATTCCTTTACTCACACTGATCTGCTACAATCAGCTACACCGAACCCCACTCTTCGATTCACAATATCAAATTCCACCCACTGATTTTGTTGATGAAAATTCCCTATAATATTACTAGGAACACCTAGTCCTTCCGATCGTCCGATCCCCAAGCAACTAATCCCACGGCCCACATCATCCAATACCCTCTCTTTTCCAATCACTACTTCCACACCCTTGTCAAGTTCAAACACCATGTTCCCTATCAACCGTCCGATCTCCATCGCATTTCCTTGAAAACACAAATCCAACGATCCACGGTACACGTACCCTTTTTTGTATCTTGACCCGGCGAGTCGGAGAATCTCTTCCCGGATCTTTTTATACGCTTCGTCCACTAAGTACGTGTACTCAGTACCTGAGTCGATCAGTGTCTGACCGGACCCACCAGCGTCCGGTCGAAACACTGATCGCGAAATATTTAATCGTTTCACTCCGATTCGGATACCGTTTAACCCGAGGGTGTATGCATAAGGGTCAAAATTGGGAGAGTGTTGACTATTGGGAAAAGTCAAAAATGTCAACGTATTTAAATGTTTTGGAGTAAGGATTTTGACCTAGGTAAAAAGCTCCGGAGGGTTTAATTTTGGCATTATTTTGACGTGTAGGAGTACAATAAGAGAACTTGGAAATTTTAGCTTGTGAAGCGAAGGACAATCGTCCGAGGTTCATTCCCAAAATACCCTCGGCCTCGTCGGAAGCAGTAGCACATCCGAGGGTGATAGGAGGGGTACTTTGGTAACGAGAAAACGTAATTTTTTCTCTGACTAAATTACCCTCGGCGAGAGTACCATCTGCGTAGAAGTAAGAGTAGTGGCAAAGGCGATTTTGGTCACAGGTGGTGGGGAGGGTAAAATCGGGAACTCGTGGTTTACAAATAGGGTGATTACAGGGGAGGATAGAGAAAGAGGAAGAGAGAGACGGATCAAACGACGCCGTAGGGGTTTTGTTGTGGCACTGGATCCATGATAACTGGCTACCGGTGTCTAAAACCATCTGTTGCGCTTGTGGTGGAGTTCCGATTGGGAGAGAAACAATCAAAGCCATTGAATACTTGAACGATAGCTTGTGATTGGGATTCGACGTCGATGATGGTGTTGATTGAGGGAGGGAATTGTGTAGAAGTTTAGTTGCAGCGGATTTGTGAGAGAGAGGAAGGTAAGAGAGAGAGAAGGAGAGAGAGTTGTTTAATGGGGTGTTCTGAATTGAGAAGGAGAAGGAGTTGATGAAGAGGAGGAAGACGATGAAGCAGTTGGAGTGGAGTGTAAGAGGAGCCATGGAGGAGAAGGGAGGAGAGTGGTGGTGAGTTAATATGGTTGAAAGGGAGAATTGTGGGGTTTATATTTGGAAGAGAAAGGGGGACAAGAGTCGGAAAAGAACAATACAAAGCCGAAAGAGGGAAGCAAAAACGCGTTTTTTAAGTTTTTGGGGAGAGATAGTTGGGTGGTTGGGCTTTGCTTGAAATTCAGTCATGCTATGTTCTATTCTTTTAGTTTATTTTTATACGATACTAAATTAATTAAATATAATATAAAAATGAAAAAAATTAATTTGGTATATAAAGTTATTGCTTTTTGTTTTAATAAAACAGTAATGTTTGCTTTTTAATTTATCTTTTTTGCTTTGTATTTTTAAATGTTTTAAAGTGTATAAAACATTCATTTTTGTATGGTTTTTTTTATTGTAAATGAAATTGAGAATTTTATTATCTATGTATATATAATTCTTTTTTATTATGTGGATTTAAAATAATTTTTTTATTATAATTTATTTTGGATATATATATGTATAGTAAAACATGTTTGGAACATGTATGTCGAATCAAAAACTATTTATCATTAAGAGGATTCACAATTATAAAGATTTTTCATCATACTTTTTATAACATTAAAAATGTTATTGTGTCCTCGTTATAAACCAAAAAAATTCATCAACTTATTAAGGTTCCATCAATTATATTTTATTTCATTTTAATATTTTATTTTTGTATAAATTAATATATCTTATATTAAATCAATATAGTTACATATTATATATGTATTAATATTTAATCTTTTTCTATATTTAAATAATACTTTATCTTCTTATATATATATATATATATATATATATATATATATATATATATATATATATATATATGTGTGTGTGTTTTCGGATTGCTAACATATTTATATTATATGTTTTTATAAAATTATATTTAGTTGTTAAAACATTTTAAAATTTCTAATGTACTTTGTGAAAATATATTATAAAAAATAAACATGTAAATGAGAACAAAATAAAACGTAAAACATTCTATCCCACTATAACAATATTTATTTTCAATCTTGGAACTAAATATAAGATATATTTTTTATACCGATGAAATAAACATCAAATAATTTGGCAAATACATTATACATATGGCTTTCCACATGATTTGATTTACCATATTCTCCCACTCAAGTGCATGTATGGCTTCAATTTGGTTGCCTACTTTCTTTCTTTTAGTTAAGATATACAAAATAATGAAATATCATTGGAATATTATTATTTTCAATTAAATGTATATAAAAAATTATTACATCATAATATCTTGTTCAAATAACTAAATGGTCCTTCTGGCATAATGAAAACAGAAAAGTATAACTTCAGTTCTAGTTTCGATTTCATTACAACGAGTATTTATATCGTTTCAATTTATCAAATTTATCTTATTTTGTTTTTTTTTCCTTCTTATTTTGTTCTTTTGTCCCTTATTTTTTTTTTTTTTTTTTTTTTTTTTTTTTTTTTTGTAATTATATATATTTTACATATCTTTTGTTATTATATTAATTGAAGCAATAAATTAAAAAAACTATAAAAGAGGTCCACGTGATTTATTGTTTTTTTTTATTTAGATTGATTACATTTTTGTTAGTTTTAAGACTAGGGAAATCAAATAAATAAATAAATAAATAAATAAATAATAAAAATAAAAATTAAAAAGTCTTTATATATTTTGGTTCTATGGACAAAAAAGTTATTTTATTATTATTATTATTATTTTTTTTTTGCAATTTATCCATTAAAATCGATAAACACTTGCAAAATAACCCTTATAACTGGTTAATGTATATTTTAAAGGTTAAATTGCAAAAATAAATAAATAAATAAAATTTATGTTTAAAGACTTTTTTGAAGATTTTATTTTTTATATATACTAAATTTATTTGAAGAAAACTTATATATATTTATTAAATAACTCAAAATAAAGATAAATTTTTATTAAAAAACATAATAATGATAATTTATGTAATTTTTGGAATTTTTTGTGATTATCTTTAATAAAGATCATTACTACAATCATAAAAATATTATCTATATCTTATATAACTTAAGAAGATCTTGTTGATTTGTCGCAATAACTGCATTTCTAGACCAAACGTTTTACCATAAAACTACCACTTACCAAAGATCCTTTCACAATCGAACGACGCCTCAGAAAATAAAGGTTTATCAGATGTTGTTATTCCTAAATAGAGCTCCATTATACACACTATGTGTCCTAGAAACACACTTCTTACGACAAATCAACTAAAAGCTGTTTTTGTATTCACTAATGCCTCATATTTGTTAATTTTTTTTTATTTTTTCACTTTAACCTTTTATCAGACCTAAAAGGTGGAGAACAAAATTCTCCTCCTCCTCACCCCTCTCCCCTTCAATCCTATGGTTTCCTGAGTTTTTGGTGTGAATCATTAGAGACGACCTTACTTTTGGAGCTAGTTTTCCTAGGAGACTACAGAGGGTATTTGATTAGCTTGTTTCGAATCAAGCAAGAGTTATGTGGTTCTATTCATGAATTTGATTCATAAGGTTTATAGTTTTTGTTTCATTAGTTTGTTGTTATTAATTAAGAAAAGACATAGATCCATTTAGGTTGCATGTACCATTAAGAGTTAAGTGAAATTCTGCATGTATAATGTTGTTGTGATCTAAAAACCCCAATAGTGGTAACAGAGCCATGCTTTTTCTATTAGTAGTGCATAAAAAGGTGAAAGCGGAACAACAAATAGAAATCGACAATTTGTCGTCTCCACAATGTGGGTAACCCTCTGCCACGTCGTGGGAACTGCCTGAAATTCGAATTTTAGGATTTTCTTGTCTTATTCAAACCATAGGATAATTATTAGTTGTTTAATATTATTTTAAATGTCTAAACTTTGAATATTATGACAAGATAATTAAGAATTCTAATTTGAATATAAGGAAGATTTTAAAAAGGTAATTATCCAATCATAAGATGATTAGATAATGGAATTATCCTTTAACAAAGATTTAATTTTATTTAATTAAAACTTTAATTAAAAATAATTCTTAAATCTTATTTAGTTCAAATATTAATTATTAAAATTTATTTGAATTAATATGATTTGAACATTGTAATTTTAAAGAGTTTTAAAATACACCCTATACATATGTATAATAGTATATTACTATATGTATAACTAAAAGTGAGTCAAATCAATAGTAGGCCTCATTCACGAAGCCACACTATAAGAGAGGTATAAAGAAACAACTTATAAAATGACTGTTGAAAGAGTGTCATTTCCACCCACTGCTTCTTTGTGTGGTGAAGGGTCGTTAGCCGAGCGGGTTTGATAGGACACTCACATTAAAAGTATATTGTATAAAGTACTAGAACCTTCTATAAATTTCACTCTAGTTACTTTAGTAAAAAATGTGAATTGTATGCTAATCCATGAAAACGCACATCATTTCTTTGCAAGTCGTTAGTGGAGCGTGTGTAGATAACCGACGCACTGATTTGGGACTACAAAGATGAAATGATGGCACATACTCGATTTTATGGTTGTTGATGGAGCGTGTGTGGTTAATCGATACATCAATGTGATCAATGTGAGATCATAAATGACCCCGATGATGTCACGCGGGTGTGCATGGTTATTCACATTTTATTTGTGATCCTCGACATCCCAGTCACAAATCGAAGAGCATAATTTAAGACTAACACACCATTGATTGTTGAATGAATCTCAAAAGATCTAGGAGTTTCATTGTGATTGAAATTAGTAAAATGCTTTACCTACCTAATATAGATTCGAGATGTAACTACGACATCCCTCTCCATATTACGAATCGTATATATGGATCCTACCTTAATTTAAAATTAGATTAACAATTAAGGAATGAATCAAATTATTTAAACTTTCTTCTTTAGGTTAGATGGAATCCTCTCCCACCTCCCCACTCTCTTTCTAATTCTATATTCTCTTTGTTCTCTATCTAGAATGACTCATTTGTTATGGGACCTTCCTTGATTTTGTATTGGGAAAGATGTCCATAATAAGCATATATCCCTAAATCAAATATGTGTCAACTTGGAAGAAGTTGTTATTGCTATAAAATGTAGATTTGTCAAAAGGGTCTCTTGCATCATTATGTTTATGTCCTCGATGTTCCAAAATGACCTTTTGCGAACACGTGAACATATGAAATGAATTTGCATTTGAGTGAAATGTTTCACCAAAAGGCAAGAAAACAGTGATTTGAAAATCATCAAAAGTTACTAATTATATTCGAATTGAAGAAGAGAGTTTTGTATGTAATCAATAAAAGATACATAGACAAACTTGAGTATCTCAATGTTACCCTTGACAAGTGTCTTGCTATAGATCTTGTGCTTGGATTTTTCATTAGTTATTATGATAACTTCGACTTAAATTATCATATGCATATTATGGAGGAAAATATTGATGGGATTGTTAAACTTTCTCTAAACTGGGAAACTAGAAAAGAATTAGATATCTTATCCAATTCCAATTATCACTTTTGAATGTTGGTGGAATGACTATAAAACACTCAAATCCTAAATGGAAAGGAATGGTTTTGGCCGGAACCTCCCATTATATGGAATGGAATTGGTGTTTCCCTTATTCCACGTAACCATGAATCAAAAGAGGCAATTTGAAATTAATGTGAAGACAAAGATTAAAGGAAATGAAGATTGATCTAAGTATTTTGGGATGGTTAAGTCAAATGTTTGACTCTAAATCAAATACTTAAATACTCAAACTCTAAATACTTCTAATTCATGGTTTCTTAAGCCACGATGTGGAAATCACATTTAGATGGCATTGTAGGATCTATAGAAAGGAAGGAAGTTTAATCATTGAAAGCTAAACCCAATCATTGGAATGGACAAATGTCGTATGTCTCAATGATTGAGGATTTCAAGCTTATGCTTACTAATGGAGTTAGGTTTAAACTAGTTATGTGCTATTACTCTTCGG